ATGAACAAATTTTTTTAAATTTCGTCTTGACCGCATTGAAATGTCCTTCATCACATAAACACATCAGTAACAAAAGCCAATATACAGTGTGAAAGTTCATTTTTGTACATGCAATTACATACAATTTTATCCTTTGCTACAGCAAGTTCAGGCACATTCCTTAATGATAATTAATTAAACCCCATTTTCCACCTTCATTAAGCAATGGAGTACCTGAAAAATATTATTCGATATTAATGCTTTTTTTATATTCGCTTAGATTCTTAGCTAAATGGATTTTAATAATTTAGTCAATATGTTAAGCTACTAGATTGGCTATAATTTGCACCCATAATCACTTTTCTTAAGACTTTTTTATTTCTTTATGATGCAAGGGAACATGTTTGTGTGGTTTAATCATATGACCAAATGACATCTACCTGAGGTCTTGTCACCATTTTCAAAGTCGGTTCTTAAAAAGCGAGGTTGTCCGTATCTTTCAAGAATGCTTTCTTCATTCATAGTTCTGGAGGATCTTGTTCATGTAGAAGCAGAATAATATCATTGTAATTGGTTGTTCTTCAATTGAAGACTAAAGTATAGATTATGACTTAGGCTAGACCTTTCGAGGAGACAACCCATGTGGTTATTTTCCTGGAGGAACAATCGTGTAAAATTGTTTGGTGATAGGTTTAGATTTACCCTGAGAATATGGGGCAGTTTCGTCTGCATTCATCTCCTCAGTGTCACCAAACCTATTGTCTCGTATTGTATGGATTAAAAGAGTGGCCTTTAAATATTGTAACTTTGATATCATGATCGTTGATGCGTGAAATCATTTTGTAAAACAAGAACAAATGCGGACTTAACATATGGTGAACAATGAGCATAAACATCTTTGCTTCTACCACATGATGTCGGCATTATGGTATTATAAAAAATGTAAACTTTAAATTGTAATACTTTAAATGTGCCAATGGTTGAGTCCTATATTACAGCAAACAAAACTTATTTCTACGTACAATCTGAGCGACGGATGGTATTAAAACTTCTTTTTGTATTTGACTAGAAATTGTTTTATTATTGGTTGATCAATTGGCACAAACTAAGAGAGCAAATGCAATGTATTTTAAGATATTTAAGACTGAATAAAAGCTAAATATTCTAGATGTTAAAATATAAAATTAAAATTGATTAAACATTTGCAAAAAAAGCATAAAGCATATAATGGTATTTCAAAGATAGGATATAAACAAAATTACAAACTTGAACAGCATACATTGACAAAGCTGTTTTATAATGTGGAATTGATCCAACCATTAAAATTTGCACCAATGTCTTTCCTCAGTTTCAAATAAACCTTTAAAGAATGCTTAGGGCTTTGCCTTTTTAGAAGTCTAAAATGCTGCTGGTTTTGTATTAGATACTGGTGTCTTTTGTATATCAACTGTTCGACCAAACTCACAACTGACAAACAATTAAGATATTCTTATCTTGAGTCCTACACACTGATATAATCACATTAAAAGTAGATCCCTTTGAGCCAACTTTCACATGTTCTCTCTTGTAGTCTTGTAAATGCCACTAGCCACTACAATGTCTCAGTCTAAATTTTAGAAACATATATCACCACTCCATCAAACGTTAGTCAAGGTTTCTAGTACAAACAGTAGCACTGTATATTATTGCAAATATCACACTTCGCCAAGAACTACTTTTAGGACATAAACAATCCACATTTTTAATATCTCTAAATAGAATTGTACACCGGTGTCAAAAAAAGAACTAGTTACAAATTGATGATCATTACAATTTACAGTCATGAATAAAATTACACATGCCACAGACGCAACCATGTGCAAAGAGTATATATATATATATATATATATATATATATATATATATATATATATATATATATATATATATATATATATATATATATATATATATATATATATGCATGCATGCATACATACATACATACATACATACATACATACATACATACATACATACATACATACATACATACATACATACATACATACATACATACATACATACATACATACATACATACATACATACATACATACATGCATACATACATACATACATAGCATAATAAAATGACCGGTGTCAAAAAAAACAACTAGGTATTAATATCTTACAAATTGCAAAGCGAATATATATATATATATATATATATATATATATATATATATATATATATATATATATATATATATATATATATATATACACACACATAGCATTATAAAATGACTTGCTCTTGACTTTTCAACCGACATCCCTTCTACAAAGAAAACAAACATGTTTATGATATGTGAGGTTTAAAGACCCTTAACATTTTCTGAAGTTTGATATTTGAATAAAGTGAATTCTGTTGACTTTCTAAAATTACATTTATATTTTGTGTCGAAATTTTAACGTTTGCCTCTGATTAGATCATTATAGAGCAAATTGTCATTCGGTTCATCTGCCATGAAGCGTATACTCTTCCATATTTCCTTATCTTTGATAAGTGTTTGCTTCGTTTTTGTTTTGATCGTTGCTTCTACATACATGTGTCTTTCTACTTCAGCTATATCATCACATGCTGCATCGTTGCTGTTCCAATGTAAAATGGAATGTCGAAATGATACAATGTTTTTACTAAGTTGTTTTCTTATGTTCCCCGCCCCCTTTACTATATGTCATTATATGCAGATTCTTTTCTTTTCCACTTCGTCTTAATTGCATCCATAACACTATGCTCTGAAGACGACGTGGAACAGATGTGGTTTCCATTTTTATCGTTGTTATTCGATGTTCCAACAACGTTCGTTCAACCTTAAGACTACTAACGTTCCCCTGGACATGAATATTTTTTACTATATTTAGATGAACTTCCTTTATTATCGCTAGTTTTGTTTACAGTATGCATGTCTTCACTTAAAACGGTTTTCTGTTGTTTTTTATCTTAAGGAGGCTTAATATTTTCTTTTCAAATTCTGAAGTCTTTTTGCCTGTTTCTTGGCCTAACGTGTTTGAATAAATTAGATTATTTCCCGTCATGACTTTATAATACGTTGATATCACTGTGGTTATGTTTTAACTAACGTCTTTATAATATATTTGGCAATTCTTTGATCGTGTCTGCAAGGACAGGGTTTTTGCATATCTTGTTTATATGGTACATTGTTTAAATTCCATTCTTACAGATATCTCGCAATTATCATTTGTATTTATGTTCCTTTCTTACAAATTGTTTATTTTGAAAATGTGCAATATACTTTTTCAACTTTGTCAACGTAATTTGTTTGTTTTGTTGGACCCGTAGCACGGCATATGTTTCGAACTTTTGTGGGTGTTTTTACATTTGAATATATCTCTTCAGTTTTAAACAACGTTACTTGTCACTAACTTACAAGTCATTACCAGCGGTCTTTCTTTTTGATATAAGATTTTTCTTTACTGCAATTTTTCTATCATGAGGGCACCATTTTACTCATGGCTGCACCAAACTTCCCCAAATTAGATTAATTTATTTGTTTTTAAATTGTCGTATCATGTCCTTCTTAATCAAACGCCGCGCCTACATATTTACAGAAAATAACCATAACTGCTGTTGACAGGTTTGGTATCTTAAAATAAACGCTAACCAATTGCAGGAAACAGCAATAATAATTTCATACTTAATACACACACACAAACACACACACACACACACACACACACACAAAGATATATATATATATATATATATATATATATATATATATATATATATATATATATATATATATATATATATATATATATATATATATATGGTGTAGACAAAGTAAGCTTGTTCATCTAAACTAATTAGTCATTTATCCTTCAAAGTTTTAATTGCTTAAAGGAAGAGGTAGGCTCTTTAGGTATAGGAAACGGTACGTGGGAAGCACCTTTTACACAATGTCAGTATGTGCAAGGTTACTAGTTTCTACGTCAAGATATGTTAGAAAGATAATGACTAATTAACTTGAAACAAGCGAAAGTCTTTTACTTCTTCACATCGTACCGTATCGTCTGTGGTAGAACTCTTTCAGAATGAGTACTTGGGCGTCTTTAAAGGTTTAGTTATCGAACCACTATGTAGTCAAGGAAGATGTAACGGTACAAGCAGATATAGTCCATGCAGAGATAAATGGAATATTACATTCAGAAATACGCGAACAAACGCAGGTGTGATTAATGTTTTAATTAATAGTTTTAGTCCTGTTATTGTTTAAGTTCTATATCTTGCTCTGGATTGAACTCTGCGTTATCCGTTCTCTGTTCAGAAAAAATACAGAAAAATGATGGGTTTAAAACAATCAATAAAAACGAACCTTCTGTCAATTATAATCATGATTCCATGACACTTTCTGCAAGAATTCAATTATGGCGGAATTCTTAGAAATACAACAAAAATATGCATAACTTCTCAATCTCTATTAGTTTTATTAGATATTAATTGGCAATCTAAATGGTTTATCACACACACACATATATATATATATATATATATATATATATATATATATATATATATATATATATATATATATATATATAGTGTTATAATGAATGACATATTGCTCGACCGCAAAATAAGTGAGAATAGTAGGTATGTTTGGCTGAAATATTTAATTTATTAGCTGAACTACACAAATTCTATAAATGGCTAAGTAGAAAATTTTACATGAAGGAAGATCGTGTTTTGAATGCAATAATTCTTTTTAAATATTATATACAGTCATGATGCTCAAATTAGTGTTGAAGGTACATTTAGTTCATTATATACATTTTACCAAAAGAATGCACTGTATATGGTTTCTTAAGTTCTTGTTCATGTATGAGCTGAGTGTAGATGCAATAATGTCAAAACAATAAATGTTTAACGTCTTTTTATTTTAAGAAACATAATCTCTAGCCTCTTGATTCCGATCGCCAAGCGAGGCAGATGTAAGTACCATTTTCATAAGTCTTTTGCATGACCCGGCCGGGGATCGAACCCACAACCTCATGCATCCGAGACAGACGCTATAGCCTCTATACCAACCGAGAATTCCAGATACAAACAGAAAACTTGACACGATTATGGTTTTATGTCATTATTACATTTTGCTTCTAGAACAAAACAACAGGCTTTTCAGATTTCAAAGGTCAAATGGTACCAATTTACTCTGTGGTGTGATACTAGCATACGACAACCTTGAAACTTCTCTTTCATCATTAATTAAATAATTTGTTAAAGAGTGATGAATTCGTTATTGGAGAGCATGGCTTATCTACAAAATCAGCTTCACACAAGTCTATCATTGTCTAAAACACACAGATAATTTGAATAATATACACTGTTCATGTGTGTTAGTCAATAGACACCACTTCATTGAACTATTTGGGTTTGGTGGTTCTTAAGAAAAAAGGAGGCGTATTTTATTTTCTTCCAAATACAAAGTATTTAGACAGCCACTGTATTAAAAAAAAACTGCTAAAATTTTATTCGTGTTTCCTGGGATATGAATATTTTTGGAGCCAGTAGCCTCAGTTTCGTGCAATGCAATAATGTTATCGATAGCTTGATGAAAATCAAAATATATTAGTGGTACTGCAGGTTGAAGTTTCTGACAGAGTCACGTTATGGACAGAAAAAGCAGCTAAGACTCATGGGTCAAGGTGTGGAACGAAATAATTTCAAGTTATTAATTGTGTTTCTTTAATTACGATAGACAGAGTCCGGAGTCAGAAAGGGTCCAAAAATAGACTTTGTTTGACGTCAGACATAATACGTCTCTCCAATCCCTCTTTATGTATTAAATCACTTATAGTATATGATCATCCTTTGAACATAAAGTCAAGAAACTTTTAATATCCTACGTTTATATCTAATATATTTCATCATGTGGTACCACTCTTCAAATATCATTATTATAGCACATAAACTAAATATTACCATAGGAAAATAAAATATTTTTTATTTATTAGTAGTAGTAGCAATAGCAGTAGCAAAAGTGCTTTTATTATTAAAACTGCCAAAAATGTCTATGAATCATAATAATCGCAATCCAGTTAACAAAGTGGTCATATTGGAGATCAGATTGTCACCGAAGTCTTTTTAAACATATTATTTCATTGAACACATCATCTGAATAGAACCATTTTTCGGGTTAGGTTTGGTGATTTAAGTACCATAGCATAAGTAGGTTATGTTAGTGCCGAATCGATTAAAGTAAAGTCAATTTTCAACGACATACCAGCAAAAATTGTCTAGGTTCGAACCCACATCCTGTCGGTTGCGCGTAAATTAAGCAAATAACAGACCCATCGCAACTCAAACGTCAGATTTTTGTAGAATCTTCCAGCACGAGCAACTAGGAGCTATAGCATGATTCTAAAGCTGGTCACCATAGTTACCATGATTGACAACACAAAACTCTCACCCCTACCCAACTCTATATATCAACAACACTGCACTGGTGACAACTCTCTGAGTGATATTATAATCGGTGTAGGACAAAAAGAAACATAATATTAAAACTATCTTGCATAGCAACCATAAGGAACATTTCATCAGCATCAATTTTGCGATCACACAAAACTTGCTGAAAGAGTTTGGTGATGAAAACTGGATGAGTCTGTATAACTTCCCACTGAGTAGAAGCGATAATAACATTTACAGCCTGGTCACAACAACACCAATATCCAAATCGTGAGTGATTGTTTCTAGATTACACATCTAAGCATTACTTGTTGTTTTCATCTAGAAGAATATTAGACGACAATTAGCACTATATGAAGAACATTTTCTTTAAAATTAATAAACTTTGGATTGGTATTAAAGCTACATCAAGCCGATTGTTACGTTCAAAACGAGACTTACCCAAAAACTCGCAATTCCGCTGGCTCAGCAAATGCGTCCATTTTGCCTGAACCGGAAATACGTTTTACCGATATAGATTCCAAAGAATGATTAAAATCATAGTGCATTAACATTTCCAGACTTTTTGAAAACTTCTATGCAAGCATTAAACCAACTTCTTTGTTACTTACTTTCGGAACAGAGTAATGGACTGTGTGAGATAGTGGAGAAAAAACTGAGCTATAAAAAAGAATGAATTAATGAAATCTAAATAATGCAGGAATGCCTACAAATTATAAGAGATACGCTGCTAACAATTTGATACACGCTAATAACCAGACACTACCTCTCAAGAAAAAAACCAACAAAGATATTCATAGAGTCAATTGTGTCCATATATTTTTATACAAATGTTGGGTATTTTGTGTTTGTCTCTTTAATACGATTTTTGCGAACGAGAGTAGTAGTTAACTTCAACTATTATAAACATAAATTACATTTGCAGCTAACAAACTTCCACCTTGCTTTGATCTCACAACGTCCACTTCAACCAGACAATTTGTTTAGACTTTTTTCTGCATCTTTTTCAATGTTATTCTGAACGTTCCCTCCTTATTCGACAAAATTCTAACAACTGTGGATGACAAACGGTCAGTTCGTAACTAAATTACTGGAGTGCAATGTGATACTTGACATTATATCGTCTAGTTGTTGGTCTGCTGTAATTAGATCTATCAACAACGGTGACTATTTCATCGTCATCAGATTCCTTGTTTTACAAGACATCATCTTCGCTATAACCAACAGATTTGTTTATAAAATTATTGTTAGTAATTGTAATATTGTCTGTGATTTTATCGCTGGCGTCCTTATCGCTGACAACATTATTACTAGTATCTTGTTCGTATAGTTGATCAAGTCTTTTCATCAAGTCCATATTATAATATACTTTTATCTAATTTGTTGTTATAAGATGACTGACGAGGTAAAATATCACCAAAAAGTTAATATAATAAATTACAACGAATTAGCCGAAGCGGTAAGAAAATGCTTGTCAGGTTACAGTGCATATTCCGTTGACGTTGTTGTATTGCAAGGTGATTCTCATAAAATATTACTAACAGCAGCAGAAAAAATAAAAATAATGAAAGTGCAGTAACGACGGTAAAATTTGATCGCAATGATGTTATAGCGTTTGCTCATCATTGCTTGACTGAGACCGAGCTATTAAATATTTTTAATCATCATATCTGAAACTAAATCTATCAAAAGTTGTTAATATTGAAGTTGCTGTTTAATTTTGCCGTCGGCGATGTCTTTTACTCTCAGTGAATGAATTTTAAGATACTTTGATGCAGCTGGTATTGATTTAAATTTCATTTTTTTCTCCAGTTTCTAAATTTACTGAAATATCTGATCTTCTGGGGTTTTTGAAATTATTACCGTCAGAATTAGATCCATGTCTGGTGTTTTCTTCTGGTGTAACTAGTTCTAGATTTTCCAATGTATTATCAGTTTTAATTTTGTTAATATGATCGATAACAAAATGATTTGGAATGATGCCAATAAATACTTCATAAACAAATCTATGTAACGTAATTTACTTTTGTTCCTTTAACACATACTATGAAATAATTCTTATTATTATTAGAACCAACAACTTTTTTAATTTTTCTTTTTCTTATAATACCGCGATCGTCAGCCTCGTACAAATCAAAGACCGGAAGCGGCTGAAACTCGTTTTGTAAAGACAAATTTTCAATATTATCAGTGACTACATCGTTCACATGATATGCACGCTGTCCGTCTGGAATGTCCTCGCAGAATATAGTGTAAATAAAATCTTTTTTAGGCATAGTAATCCTCTCGGTATTAGCCCCTTTTACACTAATAATCTTATAACACGCTAACGTTACTTTGCCAACAGATATTCCTGTTTTGATGTTAATAACCAAACCAAATTCATTTCCAGCGTATAGGTTATACTTTGGGTGAACGTAATAATACTCTTGCTCACATGCGCTTGTCATATTTTGTGACATTATACAATAAGGATTTTATAACTCTAATTGATTTTTCAACCCTAGTGCATGCGCTGTTATCGATCGAACAATCAATTAGATACTGCACTGTAATATAGCAATGTTGAAATTGCGTGATATAGCCATGAAGAGCGTTATGGGAGAACCTGAAAAAATAGCGATTATTTTTGCAGGTTTTGACAACAGTTATAAATTTGATAACCAAAATGTTTTAGTAAATTTTACTGCAACAAATCTTTACCACCTGCTACAGACAACTATAAAACATGAGCTTAAAAAACACAAAAGTATAAGATTAGAAGTGAAATATCATGCTATATTTTCAAAGCTACTTGTGACGAATGAATCGACTGACAATGAAATTACAGATCCCTTTATTAACCCAAAATCAAGACGTGTTTTGCTTGGGACTGATCTGTTATCCCTAGCTGATGAGGTACACCAAGAAAGTTTGGGAAAAAATAGAGGAATTTACCGAATTAGGTTGAGGTTGGAAATTTGAAACGATCAAAGAAAGTTTGAAAAGTAAAATGATTTTTCGATTAACGTTTTCGGACTAGATGAAAAAGAAAACGTTTATCCGAGATATATTTCAGAAAAAGCTTCACAATCGAACTTAAATTTATTGTTTTATAAAAAATCATCATGTTTGGATCAAAACCTTTAACGGACTAGTTGGTAAACAGAATAATAAGGATAAGAACAAAAAATTATTTTGTTATCGCTGCATGCACGGTTGTACTAACAATGAAATATTAGAAAAGCATTTGCAGTACTGTAGTGACGTACAACGAATAACGATGCCATCTCAAAAAGATAGTGTGTTACAGTTTGTCCATCATAATCACAAACTAAAACTTCCTTTCGTCATATACGATGATTTTGAATGTTTACTTTAACCTGTACTTGGCGTAGAAAATAATCCTGACCAATCGAGTACAAGGAAAACTCAAAATCATGTTTCGTGCGGAGTAGCGTACAAGGTAGTTTGTTGTACTGATTCGAGCTTATCTAAGCCAATCAGATTATATCGTGGTAAAAATACAGCTGTCTGGCTTCTCAAGCAGTTGATCAGTGAAGTTGATCAGATATTTACTCGTTCGAAAAAAGTAACTTCGATGATACAATTAACACCTCAACAAGAATCTGATCACGAGCAAGCAG